TAACGTAAAAGTAAACTAACGTACTACTACACTACATAGTGTAGTTAATTTTAAGTTTAGTAGTACTGTGTACTAATTAATTAGTAGTAGTATTAGTTAGTAGTAGTATATATATATATATATATATATATATATATATAAGTAATGTATGAGATCCTCCCATACCCATGTAAGTAGAACCCCAAAGAATCACTTTTAAATTTGGTACAGATCTCTAGAAGAGTCAAGTCTCACACCCATGTGATAACTTTTCTAGAGATGTATGTTAAATTTAATAGTGATCATTTCAAGTCCTACACATATAGGTATGGAAGGGTTTCATAGGATCATTACCTTTTATTTATATATACATACAAAACGCCTATGACCAAGACCCAACTTGAGATAAGGCTCGATGATAATAACAACTTGTATATTATATATAAATATCAAGTTGGGTCGACCATGACCAAGTCCGAACTCACCCTAAAGGTCCGCAATCGACCTAGACCCAGACCAACCCAGATAGGGTCAAGTCATTTGAACTCACGCTGCGTCGACCAGACTACCACCCCTAACCAATCCGACCCGGAACCCTATCAATGACAATAATTGTCATTATTGAGGTCTCCCCATAAACGTAAAATCGAAGGTAGACTCGGGGAGAGGTTAAGAAAGCGAAAGGGGGAGTCTTGTGTCATTAGATAAAATATTAGGGTTCATTGTTGTCATTAATAGACACTAGTGTTATTTTAGGCATTATTCTAATTTACAGCGACCACATTAAAAACTTCTCACACCATATTCAGACAACATTCTCAACAAAAACCAACCGCCGTGGATTCTCTTTTCAAGGTCTAGGATTCTTTTTATTTTTTAAGCAAAATTTTATCTTTGTTTTTGCTCTATTTCTTTCTTTATTCTGTTCGTTTTCTTTTGAATATATTTCATTATAAGAAAATGGATATTTGTCTGGTGTGTTAGATCACCTACCATTAACTACTCTTCTTTAATCTATCTCTTTCTCATTAATTCCTTTTTGTTTTTTTTTTTGGGGAAAAAGAAAAGTCGGGCCAAATTTACACTTTCCGTAATTTGGAGTAAATTTTTGGTGAAGAATCGATCTAATTCATGAAATATATGGAAAATTCGATTTTGTCCATGCTGGGTTAAATTTTGAGGTGATTGTATCCATTTCTGATACTGGTTCTTTAGCATTCAGTGCATTTGATCCACTTTTGTGGTTTTTATTTGCAATGTTGTTGTTTGCGAGTCTAAATGACCGAAAATGGTTTAGTTTGTAGCGGGCATTTGCTATCGATATCAGAAGATGCATGGATTTAATTGAATTGGGTTAGATTTAGGGGTTTGATTCAGTTTTCTGCATTTTTTTGGCCTTTTCACTTGGATTTGGCGGCCATTTCTGGGGTTTTTATTTCGATTTATCAAACTTCACGTGACTGGTTGAATTCGAGAAAGTTTCTCGACTATTTGTACAGATTCAAGGAATGAATTTGAGGGTTTCATTATGAGACAATCTAGGGCTTTTCCACTGGTTTCAGGCCCATTATACGTGATTCTTATCCTGACTATCAGTGTTCTTGGATTTGGATCGTTCTTCAAATCTTTCTCAGAGAGAGAATTCTCAGTTGTAAGACCAGATGTTGAGCTTTTCCTTGATGGTATATTGAAAGGGCCTGGTCATCCCCCTGTGTTTGCTTATTGGATTTACGGAACTCGTGGCGAAGGTGCTAAGATCATGAGACTTTTGAAAGCAGTTTATCACCCAAGGAACCAATATCTTCTTCATCTCGATGCAATTTCTTCAGATGAAGAGAGGACTAAGTTGGCTCATTCGGTTCGTTCAGTCAAGGTTTTTAGGGTTTTTGGGAACGTAAATGTCATAGGAAAAGCTGACGCTTCTGATCGAATGGGTTCTTCTTCGTTGGCTGCTGCCCTTCATGCTGCTGCTGTTTTGTTGAAGATTAATGGGGATTGGGATTGGTTCGTTACATTGAGTTCTTCGGATTATCCAATTGTTACTCAAGATGGTATGCTCATTACCACAAACCCATATTGATTAGCACTTCTTGATTCATCACTTAGAACCCATTTTGATTGTTATTTTCTTGTTGTGAAACCCACTTTGATAATCATCGTGTTCTTAACATTGAAGTTTGTGTTTTTTTCTTCCTTATGGAAGTATTTTTCCTCTGAATGTTTGATGAACATGATTGCATTTGTTATTTGGAGTTTCTTTGATTAGTGGTGATTACTTTGCAAACATGAGTTGGAAGACTCATCCAGTAATGCCACCTATTTAAAGAACATTTATTAATTATTTCAACTTTTTTGCTATTTTCTAGTAGGAGTGTATACAATGAGGCCATTTAATACAAGGTCACAAGTACTTATAACCATCTGATGTGAAATCTGATAGCTTTCACATCATAGCTTGGGTGTGTCACAAAGTTCAAGAAAATTTCTTTTGATAGCTTGGGTGTGTCACAAAGTTCAAGAAAATTTCTTTTGAAGTTTGAGTTTGGTCAATAGACTAAATTTATCCATCCAATTGCACATTCAATGGTCAAGATCAATTGTGACCACCTTGTACCAAAGATAAATGGTATCATTGTATACTTTTCCTTTTCAGTGGACTTCATGATTATTTTAGAGCTAAAACTGTCTGGTAACCCAAGAGAAACCATTCTTCAATCTATATGTCTTCAGGAGAAATGTCGTTTTCATTTCTTGCTGCTAGTGTAAAAGATGGATTGCTGAATTAGTATCCTTATAAACGATATGACCGTGTCAAATGACTAGCCTTTGATTCGTTGTATTTGTCCACAAAATAGAGTGACATATTTTTGTTCATGATAAGGATTTGATCTATGATGTATTTCCAATAATTTGTTGTGAGGATACCATAATATTCATATCATCTATGGAGATTCTTAGTATTGCTCTTATGTCTTACAGTAGCAGAATAAGTTTTCTGGGTTAGAGCTGCTGCCATTTTATTGTTCTGTGCTTATATTATGTTTTTCAAATTTCCGCTTTCCCCAAACAGCAGTCCCTGTTGTTTCAACCGTAATTTTTATTTCAAGTTGCAAACATGGTATGAATTGCACGATCTTCTATGGCAATTGTTTGGTGATATCCTAAGGTGACTAAAATGCAGATTATAGCAAGAGATATGCCTGACATATGGGATGATTGTGGTTTTCACATTCCTGCTATGTATTCATTTTTTGGCTCTGTGCAAGAAGAGAGATTGAATTAAGCTTGACATCTGTAATGTACTTGATGTTTCCTATGCTTAAATGACTCACTATGTCAAAATGGGACTTCATTAGTCATGATGAATGGCTGAGCCTACTTATGCATATGGATGGGATATACAACCCGTCACTGCCATGGCTTGTTTTACTTGCCGAATCACGAGAAATCTGAAAGCTATTAAGTTTTTTTTTTTTTTCAATTTTCCCAACAGGTCATTTTGGTCATGTCCCCTATTTACTTCATCGATTTGCACCCCTAGAAGACATCTTCATTTAATAAAGTTAGGAATGATTAAAACCCTCAAAATTGATGAGGATTTACATTGTCAAATATGAAATATGAGCAACAAAATACATTCTTCAAGTGGAATGCTCTCGTCTAGGTTTATGGTTAGGGTGAAACGGCTTTATTCTAGCGTGTCCCCAGTTTTGGGGGAGGATTGGTGAATGCCTGTGGCAATTTCGAGTCTTGACTTTTTCCAGAGTAAACATGGTTGGCTAGATTGATTAGAGGCTAGTTCCAAATAATGTCAGTATATTAAGCTTTTGTGCCTATTTATACATGATGGCTTCATCTGTAGTTTATAAAGTGGAAGTGCTCTAAGGGGAGTTTTGTGTTAGTAGTGAAAGAGATGGGTTCCACTTGCTTAGCTTTGAGGAGGTTTGGGAACCCTTTCTGAAGAGGCTCCAAGGGATTTAGGGCATGAGGATATTCAATAATGCAAATACCTTAAAAATAGATTATTCTTGTCCCTTTAGTGTTCCGATTGAGGGGACTACTCCAGTTAAGGGATTGTGTACCGGAGAACTTACCCGCATAAACCTTAGCAAAATGGGAATATAAAACATAAGAAATGTGGTTTCATTGAAGTTGAAATCTCAAATGCCTTAGTAAAGTATATATATTCTCTTAAGGTTTCTGGGACTTTTTTCATCTTTATACCTAATTCAGTAGATAAGCCTCTCTATTTGCATTTTAGAGCAATTTAACAGTTCATTAAAAGAACTAAAGAATAGACGTAGTACATGTTAATTTGCACCCACATTGAAGACGGACAAGATGAAGACACATAGATATGGTGATCGATGCAAGAGAGAAGCTCACTCGGGTACATTTTCTTTCCACATACCTTAACTGAGCTATGGGTTGCTGATTGGTGCTCTAAAGTAGTGCAACTCTCTTGATTTTCTGGTGGACAAACTAGTGTTTCTTAGCCAATGCATCGGGATGACGCCCTCTCTCGGAAGAATAGACAACTCAACTATCTTCTTTGTCCCTAATGTTCCTCCAAATCGAGGATGTGAAATTCCTCAACCTGCCAATTATGCAAGTTTTCTGGTATGTGGTCCACGATTTGTAGATCTTATCCTTTACATCCTGTTTTTTGCTAGATTTTGGTACATTTGCCATGAAACTTTTCATATGCTGTAAAGCTGCCTTTACGTTGACCACACTCGCATGGTAATCGTCAGTTGAGCTGATGGTTACATATATTGTGTGGAAGCTAAGTACTTGGGTATGGGATATGTCCTTTTACCTTTTGTTTTCTGAAGGGGGTTGTACTTCAATACTGCTTATTCTTACTCCACATCGTTATCCTCTAGTGAATGCCCAGCGCATAGACTCATATTTTTCTTATGGTTTTCCCTAATAGTGTCGATAAACCACACTATGTCAGATTTTATCAAATGAGTCATCTCTCCTTATTTCTCAAGAAATAATCTGAAAATTGATCATTTAATTTAGATGACGACATTCCCTTTCTTATGTTTTTGTGCCTTTCAGTTTGGTCTCTATGATGTGCATTTTTTAATTGACTACATTTTTGTGCCATCACTTGATGGATGGTTCAATCTGTTTATGATCTCATAATTCATGTATCATGTTTCTGACCTGATGGTTTTGGCATAATTTGCAGATCTACTTGATGTTTTCTCCCACGTGCCGAGGAATCTTAACTTCATAGATCACACAAGTGATGTGGGATGGAAATTGTACGTAGTTATTGATTATTGAATACAGCAGCTGTCTACTTTCAAGTTCATACTACTGATATTTTTAAACATTTTGTGGTCTTATTGGTCTTGCCTTTCATACAGGTATCAGAGGGTTCAACCTATTGTTGTGGATCCAGGGATTTACTTGGCCAGGAGAACCAGAATATTTTATGCTTCTCAGACTCGGCCAGCACCAAATTCTTTCAAATTTTTCACAGGTTGGTTTACTGAGTAGTTTCCTTCTAACCCAGCCTTCCTACAATTGCCATTTCAGCAATCAAGTATCTTGCATTTTCTTTATTATATCTCCGATCATTAGAATAAATGTTGTGACTCAAATGGTCCAAATGGTGATGCAAAATCAACTCTTTTTTTATATGGGAAAAGTTTCTATACTTCCCCTACAGCATAGAAGATCTATGCTTCCCCTACCATCCAGCCGTCCAATTTTGATCAAGAGAGCCACTCACCGTTTGATCTTAGATCCGACGTCTCAAAGTATTTTATTTTTAGTTTTTTTTATACAAATTGTATGAATATGAAATTTGGTTCGTGTAATATTCTCATTGGGGCACACCTATAAAAAATATTAAAAATAATTTTTCGATAAAATATAATGATGAAAATACCCTTTGAAACTTTCAGGGGTATTTTGGTCATTTTATTTTATTGGAATATTTTATACTAGTGCAAGTTTAATAGAGGATTGGACGTCCAAAATTTGGTGTCAAAATAGTTTATATAAAAAAAAAATTTAAAAACAAAATAGTGTAGAGACACGACATTGTGATTGAGGCAATCTTAGGCCTCCATTCAGAATGGACGGTTGGGAACTATATGAGTTTTATGCTGTAGGGGAAGCATAGAAAGCTTACCCTTTTTATAGGCATGC